AAAAAAAAAAAAAAGAGAAAGAGAAGAAGAAGACAGCGGGGTGAAAGGAGGCGAGGGAGGTGAAGAAGAAGAAGAAGGTTGGCGAGGAAGGAGACCCGGCAGCCATAGCTGACCGGGGGGTTGACCGAGAGGGTTGGCTAGAGGCGTTGACGACGTTGACCGGAGTTGACCGAGGGTGGACCAAGGGTCATAGCAGTGTTGACCGGGATTGACCAAGGCCGTTGACCAAGGCCGTTGACGAAGGCGTTGACCAAGACTTTGACCAAGCTGGAGTTGGTAACATCTCGCCAAGCCTTCAGCCTATCCCTTGCCCTGTGGATGTGCACACACCCCTTGGTACTTGCTGAGTCAAGTCAGTCTGTCTATCTTTCTGCATTGAGTCTCTTCTGTCTTAGGTCATAGTACTCTGTGGATGAAGGATAGGGCTTGGATGACGAAACCCTAGTCTGACCTTGTAGGGCTGAGACTGTGGCTGATCCAACTTTCCAGGGGGGCATAACCCTCCCAAGGACCGGTGCTGACCGGCTGGAAACGGTTGGTAGGACTCAGTGGGCCTGAATGGCAGTTAGGGCTGACACACCAGGCAGTCTTTAAGTGTTGAGGGCCTGTTTGAACCACTCCCCTCTCAGACCAAGGAAGGCTGATGATCTGTGTCTGACGACTCGACTGTCCCGGGGGATACGAACCCTCCCAAGGACTGGTACAGACCGGCGGGCTRCTCGGTGTGGCACAGTAGGCCGGAAAGGCTGAGTTGTGGGCTGAAAGCACAGGCAGAACCAAGCTGATCACGTCGTCCTGTCTGCGACGTTAAAGAATTCTTGAGGAGTTACGGGGGATCTCCTTAAATGCCTCCTGATCAGCCACTGGTTCAGTAGTGACAGCCATAGCATAGGTCTAGGCTAAAGACCATAGTTGACAGGGTCCTTGTCAGGATTCTGTAAGTCTTAGATTGAGTCTATAGGTTTATCAAACAGGGGTCAGAGTCTACGTGGTGAGGTCTGGAACCACTTACCCGGTTGTACACTTATCACCATGGTTGGGACCCGTAGTGGGTTAGAGACTAGCCCCTATAGTAAGGAGCAGCAAGAAAAGATGGCCGCCTTAGTCCAAGAGAACAGGGAGAGAAAAGAGCGTGAGAAGCAAGTGAAGCTAAAGGCTATCGCAGACGAGCAGGCGGCGAAGATGAAGAGATTGGAGGAGGAGATGAAGAGAGTACAACAAGAGGAGGAAGAAAGAGGAAAAGCTGCTGAAGCAGAAGCGGCAGCAGAAGAAGAGAAAGAGAGAATTGAGGATTGAGAGTGGAGACGGAAGCAGTGGTGGCACAATGAAGGGGGAGACAGGTATTGAGATGGAGAAGAAGATCAGCGAGTGGGTCGCTAATTTATCGTTGGGTGAAGAGGAGGAGGCAGAGTCCTATGTAACTGAGGATGAGAGGGCTGCGCTAGCCAGTGAGCTAGCAACAATGACAGATCCGATGGAAAGGCGAGAAAGGGAGGAGGAGCAGAAATTGGCATGGAAGTTGACGATGAAGCGAGAGAAGAAGAGGAGGAGAGAGGAAGTGAGTAAAATGACTGCAGAGGTAGCGAAGGTGCAAGCGTGCAGGCAGGAGGTGTTGGCCCAGCCGGATGATAAGGCCAAGTGGGACAAGGTACAGGGGTACCTGGAAGTGTTGAGCAAGGCCTGGATGGAAGAGCGCCAGGCTAGCTGGAGCCAAGATGTAGCCTTGAGTGCAATGCGTTCAGGGTTTAGAGACTTTGCGCGCGAGCTCGTCACCCATATTGGGGGCGAAGTCAAGCAATTGAGAGACAATGTAGGGAAGTTTTGTGAGGGCGCCATTCAGGGTGCCAAAGCTGTAGCTGCTGTAGAGGGAGAGGCCAGACCCCGTAAGGACCTAGTGAAACTTAAGTTCCCAGATGCGTACGGGGGAAAGAAGGAAGAAAACTTTGACAACTGGGAAGCCAGTGTCAATAGTTATATTTACTTACAACACATCCTGATTGAGGAACAAGTCCTCGTGGCCTTCCAGGCCCTCAAAGATGAAGCGGCTAGTCTCGCCAGGTCTCTTGCGCGTACAGCCGGTTGTGAAAACAACCTGGTTGCATATTCCAAAGTCACCCCTCTTTCCCAATTCCTCAAGCTCCTCAAGGACAAATCTCAACAGGCCGGCATCACATATGATGCATTCAGTAGGGAAGTCGTCCTGTATGAGTCAAAGTCTATGCCAGTTCCCACCTTCTGGCACAAAGACTTGGAGAAGGGAAAGGGGTGGAAAGGGCGTACCATCTCTAGCCAAATCAAGGCCAAGGATCATATGATCCTTACCTTAGAGGAAGGTGGTACAAACGAGGTTCCTATAATCAGATCGAGTGGGGCCTCGAGGATGATGGCAGTAGTGTGGGGAAAGGGAGGTCCTATGCTGCTGTCGCGGCTGGAGGGAGGCCGCAAGGTAGAGGAGGAGGCCAAGGCCAATGGGAGGCCGGGGACCGGGAGCGCAAAGGGTTGGCGGCCAAGGAAACCACCAAGCAGGAGGTAGGGGTCAAGGTCCCCCGTTAAATCGCCAGGGTAATCGGTCCCCACATCAAGGAGGTGGAAGAGCACCTCAAGGAGGATGGCACCCAGGGTTTCCACAGGGCAGGCCCTGGGAAGACTTGGGCTTGGACCAGCGATTATGGCAGGAACGCGTGAACATGGGTCAATGCGTTTTTTGTGGTGACCCGGCGCACGTAATTACATATTGTCCTAAGTATAGACAGGCCCGTTGGGCTGCCCAACAGTCAAAAGGCAGCCGCCAGTAGGGGTGGCAATTGCCCCTACTTCAAGGTCATGTGGAGAAGTGAGCGCGCGCGAACAGGACACTCCCAACCCACATGAACCTATGGCAGAGGTTGCAGGCCCGTGCCTAGCTAGCTGTCCAGAGACCGCCTGTGTTAGCGTCTCTTTAGGCACGTCCCTCACAGGTGTGGCAGAAGAGTTGAAGGAAAGAATGCCAGCCTGGGCCAAGATGAAGAAAGAGAGTAAAGGACAGTTGATCTTGGTAGATGTAAAAGTTTTTAGAAGCAGAGTAGGGGCCCTCATAGACTCAGGGGCCGCCCGCAGTTATATTAGCCGTAGGGCGCTAAAGAAGCTGAAGCTAAGCTTAAAAGTCCAGAAATTGGCAGACCCCATAGTCAGTGTCCTCGTAGACATTCGCACGATGCGAGTTGAGGACTATGTAGAGGGAGTCCAGGCGTATTTTCGCCTAGAGAAAGATGGGAAGGTAGAGAAAGTTTTCCATTCCCTGACTCTCCTCGTACAGGATAACCTTCCTTTCGATATAGTGTTAGGAATGGATTGGGGAGAGGCCGCAGGGGCCACACTTCATTTGAGAGAGCATGAGTGTRGGCTCCCTAGTCCGTCAGGCGAGGTTAAGACTGCCCGCTTGTTCCATGTGTCTGGTGTAGATAACACCTTGGCACATTGCTGTCTCAGTGCTCCCGCGTTCGCGCGATTAGTCAGAAAGGAGCAGTTAGAGGAACAAGTCTTTGTAGTGTATGTAAGACCTGTCACCGAGGGCAAGGAAGAGATAAGTTCCACAGATCCAACCATAGCCAAGTTGCTGGAAGAATTCAAAGACTTGACTGAGTCGCCGACAGGAGTAGTGTCGCAACCCATCCAGCACAGGATAGAGATAGAGCCTGACAGTTCAACTCCTAAGGGTGCAGTCTACAGAATGTCCCCCACAGAGTTAGAGGAGCTTCGCAAGCAGTTAGATGAGCTCCTAGAGAAAGGTTGGATCAGGCCCAGTTCGTCTTCTTTTGGAGCACCTGTTTTGTTTGTCCCCAAGAAGGAAGGAGAGTTGAGAATGTGTATAGACTATAGGGGTTTGAATGCGATTACTGTGAAGAATGTTGAGCCATTGCCCAGGATAGACGATCTCTTAGATCGGGTGCAGGGTTGCAAGTATTTCTCCAAAATAGACTTGAAGTCCGGAAACCATCAGATAGCAGTCCATCCTGATGACCAGTACAAGACTGCGTTCCGGACTAGATACGACCACTATGAATTCACAGTGATGCCCTTTGGACTAACCAACGCGCCAGCTACCTTCCAGCGTTGTATGAACGACCTGTTTTAGTAGTAGTCTATCTAGATGATATCCTAGTTTTTAGTAAGACCCTCCAGGAGCACCAGGGTCATCTGAGGCAGGTCTTGGAGAAGCTATGAGAGGCTAACTTCAAGATAATCGCAAAGAAGTCTGAGTGGGCCAAGACACAAGTTTTGTACTTGGGCCACGTGTTGGACGGAGATGGCATTAAGCCAGAGGACAGCAAGATAGCGGCAATTAGAGACTGGCCGACGCCCCGCACATTGACAGAGTTGYGRTCRTTCCTAGGCTTAGCWAACTACTATAGGAAGTTCGTGARGAACTTCTCCACTATCGCCGCCCCCTTGCRCAGACTGCTAAAGAAAGAGGCAATCTGGCAATGGGACAAAGACTGTACGTCTGCGCTCAAGAAGTTAAAGCGCGCGTTAATAGAATATCCCGTCCTCAAAGTAGCAGATCCGTCCTTRCCATTTGTCGTTACCACGGACGCAAGTCAGTATGGGATAGGCGCCGTGTTGCAGCAAGACGACGGCAATGGCTATAGACCCGTAGAGTTCATGTCAGCGAGGGCCCTGTGAGAAGGTTGCTATCTCCACGTACGAGAGAGAACTTTATGCTCTCAGGCAGGCTTTAGACCATTGGAAACACTATCTGCTTGGGAGGCACTTCAAAGTGTATTCTGACCACGAGACACTTCGTTGGTTAAAGACACAGGCCAAGATGACACCTAAGTTGACTAGGTGGGCCACAGAGATAGACCAATTCGACTTTGAGCTCAAGCCAGTGAAGGGCAAATACAACGTAGTTGCGGATGCTCTGAGTAGGAGATCAGACTACTTTGGAGCCGTAGTACACTATCTGGATATAGGGAGAGACCTGCAGGAGAAAGTGAGGCAAGCATATGCGCAAGACCCTATCTATAGCAACCTCCTAAAGAGAGAGAGGCCCCAGAGACTGAACCAGACTACCACACTACAGACGGGTTGCTGTTTGAGAAGACTAATGTGTTTGACCGCCTGTGCGTTCCCAACAGCAAAGAGATCCACAGTTTGATTTTAGGGGAATGCCACGATACTGGAGGGCATTTCGGTTGGCAAAAGACATTAGCCAACCTGATGCGTGCGTATACCTGGCGAGGGATGAAGAATGACTGCATAGAGTATGTCCGCAGTTGTAAAGTGTGCCAGAGGAATGAGTCTACTACACGCGCGCCTTTAGGTCTTCTCAGACCCTTGCCTATTCCGGATCAGCCGGGAGACTCCGTGTCCATAGACTTCATGGACACCCAAGTCAAGAGTAGACATGGTAAGAGCCAAGTCATGGTCGTACTTGACCGCTTTAGCAAATATGCAGTTTTCGTTCCTTTGCCTGCAAAGGCACGTACGGACTTAGTTAAACAGAAGTTTTTTGACTTTCGGGTTAGTGAGAATGGAATCCCATTGTCAATAGTTAGTGATGGAGATAGTTGTTTCACCAGCCAGAACTGGCAAGAACTCATGAGAGTCTACGGATCTAAGTTGCTAATGTCATTTGGCCGTTACCCAGAGACTAACTGGGATGAGATGCTGCCTAAGGTAGCTAGTGCCTACAACAACAGCGTGCATCTATCCACCTGCCGCACTCCCAATGAGTTGCACAAGTCCTTTAGACCACGCAAACCGTTCGACGGACTGAACCCGGATCAGATTCACAGATTACCGCCCGGTACCAGGGAGTTTGCGATACAGCACGAGAAAGAACTGGCCACTGTTGTTGAAAACCTCGGGAAGGCCCAACATAGGATGATAGAGAAAGCTAATAAGCACCGCCGCCCGTCGCAGTTTCAGGTAGGCGACTTAGTCTGGGTCAAGGCTAAAGAGTTTGAACCTGAGGAAAACATCTCGCAGAAGTTACTGCCCGCATATAGAGGACCGTGGCCGGTTCTAGAAGTCAAGGGCGGAGAGGATGGACCGTCCTATAGCATTGAGATTCCAGCACACCTCCACACATACCCTGTGTTTCATGCTTCAAAGTTGTTGCCGTGTGTCACAAGTCAACAGTTCCCTTCGAGAAGATCCATGATCCCCCCGAATATGGATGGAAGTTATGACGTTGAAGGCATTGTAGATGAGGATGTGTTCAGAACAGGAGGTAGAGGTCGTCCCCAGAAACAATATAAGGTCCATTTTGCTTATCAGGAACCGGAAGACGACCGCTGGTTCACGAAAACAAAACTTCTAGAAACCGCTCCCGACATAGTCAGAGCCTATGAACGTGACAAGAAAGGTAAAGGTCCCGCCTTGGACTGAAATGTTCTTGGAGGACCTCGAATTTAGGACGGCGGGAGTGAAACGGTTTTCACCTTTTAGCAGTAGCGGATGCAGTACCCAGGGTTCGATCCCTAGACCTCACCCTACCTATGTACAATATCTGTATAGATCCCGAGAATTGAACCTGTGACCTGTGTATTCACAGATAGTTGGTAGGTCTGTTGTAGGTCCATAGGCAGTAGGGGTTCGATCTGTAGGTCTATAGCGTAGAAGTCTTAGTGAGTTCCGGAAGCTTAGCTGTAGACCTTCTAGAAGGTAGGCAAGTGGGCAAGTGGTCAAGTGGCGAGGCAAGTGGTGGACTAAACCGCAGTGCAACAGCAGTACAACGTCGGTAGGATAGCGGTGAGTCCACAGTCAGTCAGCGGAAGGTCCAGTCAGTCCCAGTCCGGTCCAGCAAGTACCACAGGGGGACTGTGAGCACCAAGAGCCGATGGCAAAGGGCAGAACAACGAGTTTCTGAAGTATAAATCAAGAGGCATCGCCCAGCCATTCATTGATTCCTGTGTGAGCCATGCGGAAGCGCTGCCACAACGACTTGTGCAAGGAGGTCTCCGGATGAGCCCGGAGGACGCAGTGGGCAAGAGAGAGGGAGTTAGCATAGTGATAGGTTAGATGCAGCGATAGCTGCCATAGCTGTAGTTAGTAGCGAGTGTGTGTGTGTTTTCGAGTGTTAGAGTGATGCGTGTGGGATATCCAGGGTGATCCAGTATATGTGAACAGTGAGATGTTTGGGCGCTGAAGTGGCCATAGCCAATTGAGAGTGAACTCGTGTCTGAAAGCCATATCTCTGAGTTTTGAATGGGCGCATGTCGCCGGTATGCTGCGTTGCTGTTTACATGCATGAAAAGTGTGTTTGAGAACGAGTCTGATTGCAACTGCTGATGTTGGAGAACTAATCGGAGTAGAAATTAGATCATTTGCATGAGGAAAACATCTAGTCTGGGTCAAGTCAAAGGAGTACGCACCGGAGGAAAACATCTCGCAGAAGCTCTCACCTGCATATAGAGGACCGTGGCATGTCCTAGAAGTCAAAGGAGGAGAGCACGGCCCGTTGTATACRATAGAGATCCCAGCACACCTCCACACGTACCCAGTCTTCCACACCTCTAAGTTGTTACCTTGCACCAYGTCTGACAGGTTCCCTTCTAGAAGTTCGATGATTCCTACAGACATGGATGGAGCGTATGATATAGAGGGCATTGTGGAAGAGGACGTGTTTAGGACAGGAGGTCGAGGTCGTCCCCGGAAACAGTACAAAGTTAGGTTCGCATACCAGGAACCCGAGGACGA